GTATTGCCGAAATAGTTACGCTTTCTTATAATGACAAAAAAGCTATTTTTTTAAAATTTAGAGGGATTTCAAATAGCAAAGAAAGAAAAGACAAACACAAAAATTTAGTTAATTTATTGAAATTTGGCTGACCATACAACGCTGTTGCGAGTATTGCTACGTAGAAATCATCGGTGATCTTAGGAAATATTCAATGAGTCTATAGTCCATATATAAATTGTTTGTACTGGAAGTTCCAGGCTTAGAACTCGTGCCTGTCAAATTAGAATCGATGACTAATCGTGTTTATCCAGAAATAGCCAAGGCAGCACAAACTTTCAGTGCTCTATAAGTGTTATTAACCCACTGGTACATTATGCAAAGATCAATTAAAACAGCTTGTATTTGTAATCAGAAAAAGCATGGCAAAATTTTTAACCCTATTATATTACATTTTATATTATATACAATTTATACACAGTAACATACAATTTAAAAGTTTTATACGAATATGAAATAACACGACCGTCATTTTAATCTATTGATTGTATTTTATAATAATTTGATTCATTAAAAATATATATACATATAATATGTGTTTTAATTGTTTAATTAAAACAATGTTTTCTACAACGTTTATAAACAATTAAATTATATGAAACATATAAAATAAAAATTTAACAATTAAAAATCAAAATATAATTAAATGATTCAATTATTTTACAGCTGTTTTATGATTTTGTTCTAATATAATACAGCAAGTGAAATCGTTAATGAACTTTCACTGCAAATTAACAAAACTCCAGAAAAATGTGCGAACATACGAGTCAAATATGACTTTGGGTCTTTTGGCTAATTAACACTGACTCTGGACTTCAAAATTGACGCGACACAATTTCATTCCTTGGGATTTTAGTTAGAAAACATGTAGATTATGAAACGGGCTAGATATTTATATTACTGTGGCATATTTTATTTTAGTTTATTTTTTTAAATGTTTTTTTTTATTAAAAATCATTTCCGATATTTAGACTATCCTCGGTAGTAAGTCTTCTTCAGGACCTACTACGAAGACTATTGTCATTGTCTTTTTATAGTTCTTCTCTGCGATTAATACTTATATATGCTTAAAATTTTTTAAATATAAAAAAATTATAAAAGGTGACCTGTACCGGAAAATAAAATATAAGAAAAACATAATTTATTCGAAAAACAAATTCAAAATTAAATGTAATTATTACTAAAATTATAAAATTATTTTATAAAAATCATAATAAAATTGTTATAGTATATAATTAACAACAAGCAAACTATATATAGCAATTACGATTACAAATTGTTTTAATCATTTGCCATTACTGACATTTACTGCTGGGTCAACTCATTTAACTCAAATATAATTTAGAATAATTCCAAGTGGGTAGTTAATCTTATGAGTGCTTATATGAGCAAATGATTTGCTAAATTTTTCTCAGACAATTTGCCTACTACAGACGCATGGGCTCCTGTTAACACGATATTTACACCGATATTTAATAATTTTGATGATTTTAAATGATTCTGATGAGATTTTTGATGACAATTTGCAAGGGAGTAAGTAAGTAAGTAAGTATTATCGATAGACTTCTAATATATAATTTGACAGCTGGACAATTTGGTAAATTCGATATTTGTGAATTAGTTTTTGTTACAAATAAATTGTTTGCAATCAAAATTATAATAAATTTTAATTATTTATTATTAAATATATTAATTATTTGAAATTAAACGTAAAATAAGTTCGTTTTGGCAATCGAAAATAAAATATAAAGAATGGCGATATATACTTTAATTAACAAAACAGTTATGGATAATAACTAACAAGATGATATTTTGCAAGAAACACTATAACACTTATAGTGTTAGGCTTATTATTAATAAAATTATTTATTTAAAATATTATTTTGTTTATAATTTTAAGGATATTTTTCTAATCTTAAAATAACAACCAAGTGTTTGCTGTAAAAAAATTGTAAATGCTTGCCAGAAGTAGAAGGAAAGCAATTTTGCGTTCAATATTATATATCCAAAATATGTATAAAGTATATATATATACCCATCCATATGTTATTGATAGTATTCATGAAAAAATGTTAAGCTATATTGACAAATAGTGCTTTGGAAAAGGTTGTTTATAATAGAAGGTTGCTCCAGAGAAATCACAGTCCAATCCCACTCTTTATTTTTTGGTTCAACTAGTTTTAATATCAAAACTTTTCAAATAACTGAGTCTATATATTCTTTGCGAAAAAGAGTATTTTCAATAAGTTGAGTTTGTAGTACATAATTATTATAATTTAAAAAAGTATCGGGATTTCTTAAATTATAGACAACACAATTTTTTAGTTATAAAATTTTAAATAATATAATTAAATGAAAGTTTTCTCAGTAGATTATCATAATAATATGTTAAAATAAATCACCAAAACATCTTTGATGACTCGGAACAAATTGACGAAAAGAAGATTTAATGCATCTACTATATAGCCCGGATCTTGTGACCTTGTAATGTTTATGTGGTCTTCTGCAAACTTCTCTTAATGGTAAAATATTGGCATACTGAAGAACCGAAATGACTTGACAAGATTTTCGCTGATAAACCATAAAAGTTCTTCACCGATGGAATTATGTAGATACCCGAAAAATGGTAAGAGGTCATAAATAATGGCCTATATATACTTAAGTAAAATTGACTTCCATTAAACATTTTTGTTTAAATATGAACCAAAATATTGTCGATTCTTTTTATATCATTTAATAATATGATATAAAAGACTTTTCATAGAAATTAACTAGGTACCGACTCTCAAAGAAGATAATGTAAAGCAAAAACTCCGAGTATTGAAATTAAGGAATTGCAAACAATATACGCTTCTAAGATTTTTTTTATTTGGATAATACCGCATATGTCTGCACATATAAGTTGGATTTAATTTAAGATATGAATTGGTTAAATGTAAGATATAGAATATTCACAGCACACATTAACTCTCTCTCAGATAGTTTACCACATATGATTTATTAGTTTATTAAATGAAGAGTGATTTAACTTGAATTATTGTATGGAAGTCGGGAACTGCGACTACTTATGTCTACTTATACTTTTTATTTAATATATTTGACTTTAGTTTGACCCTGCAAATTCTGTGTCAGGTTTATACATATAACATATTACTAAAAGCTATGAATTGCATTTCGGTACACGTTTATTGACGTTTTTGCTCTCTTCAGTAAACTTCAGCGTTCTTCAGTACAGTTCTCAGTTTAACTCGATCTTCGATACTTAAATTTTATGTACTCGTATTTATATATATTATATATTTTTTTTAGCTGGAAAAATTATATATATTTGTGTTATTGTACTAATTGTATATTAAATATGTATTTATACAATATAACTTGCAATTTTTTAATTCTCATCTATTTTAAATTTAAAGCTCAATGAATATATGGTGTGGCGCACAAATTAACGGAATTCTTTTCGTCATGGTTTTGTTATATACAAAAGGTCAAAAATGGACAGAAAACAAATTAAAAAGGTTTATTAAATCGGATATAATCTTTAATATAGAATTTTATTAAATTTTTATTGACTTGCATATGATTGCATTTCCATACACTAAAAGCTAGGAGAGTTAAAATCATAACAGAAGTGTGAGACTTCGTATTGCTGTAGGTAGGCTATACAAAGAACATATAGTCTATTGTTATTTGTATGTTGGTTTATTTATACTCAATAAAATATTTATCAATTTATCAATATGAAAGGAAATTAATTAATTTTTTTATTATTTATATATTATAATCTAGGTCCAAAAAATAATTTTTTCTCAACTTAACAACGAGATTCCCAATCTCAAAATTAGAGAACATTTTTTTTTATAATCAATTCATTAAAATTAAATTAATTTATTAATTTTATTAAACTCATTAAGTTTCTTTATTGCTATAAAAACGTAATGTATTATTTGTGAATTATTAATAGATTCATTGTATAAACAAAAATTAATTAAGTTTTATCTTTAATACTTCAAGAAAATATATTACTAAATGCTTATTATGTTATATTGTCTGTATAGAGTATTATCCTAAATTCTTGATCGTAGGGTGTATACATGAATAATTCTAGGTAGATATGAAATGGAGTTCGTTAGATGGAATACATTGTTTGATGAGATGGAATTTTTATTATTCCAATTAACAGAACTGCCCACCCAGAATTTTCTAATATTTGTACATTAAAGCCAGTCTGTTAAGTGTTGTTATTTTCACGAAATTGACATATGAAATCAGAATTTAAATGACAATATTTCAATTAAATTACATCTCAAAATAAATACGCTTATTTATTTATACAACAGTATTTACTCTATAGTAAACAAAATAGTACAAGAATTGAATTGAAATCGTTTAATTAATATTGAATAATAACGAGAATTTCTCATATATACTATTAAATTTATAATGAGTTTTAAAAATAAATACAATAAAATATACGTAATCTGTAAATTAAAATATAAACAAATGTGAGGAATGTTTATTATTAGCAATAATATTTACATAAATTAGTTTAAAAATTACGCGTATTATTAATAAATATATACTGGAAGATTATATATCTATTACTATTAGGTAAAATATTATTTAAGTAAGTTTAATCATTTAACTATGATTTAATATTAAATTCGATATTCTTTGTATATATATACCATATAATAACACATCAGAGTTTTATAAATTGTATCATATTACTATATCATATTATTAATATTATTAATATTATTATTATTAATATTATTATGTTATACATATACAATATTAAGTTTTATATATAATATTATGCTTAATAACAGTCAATTTATTAAATATTGTTAATAATGATAATATTTTAAAATTAAGTCTAAAATTAAAAATAAATAGACTTAACAAAAATTTAAATATTTACATATTTAATTTATATATGTACATATATTTTTTTGCGTTATAATCACTTAATCACTTATTAGTTCATAAACGTTAGGTCCTTTTATTAAAAGAAAACCCTGATAGTTCATAGTGTCAATTATATTTTTAATTCCATCATTGATGCCCACACGCTTGGCTATTTCTTTCAGTTCCTCAAATTCGAATACGCGGCGCCCCACAGCATCGGAACGCATTCTCAGTAGTTGCAAAAACGTCTTAATCATGGCAGATTTACTGCCTTGTCCAGGTGTAGTGTGAATGCTTTCACCAGCTTCAGTGCTAGCCAAACTATGTTTCACTATACAGAAAACATCACGTACATGTGATTTGTTAACTTGATGTGAGAAGTCCAGTCGGGCACGTGCCTGTGCTAAGCCAATAAGTCCTTTGAGTTTGCTGAAAAGTGTTAAAGAAAAAAGTGATTAAAAAATATAATACAGGGTGAAAAATAATTGAAGTGCTTTGAGGGCATAACATATTTATAAGAATTTAATTAATGAATAAAATCTATATCATTAATTATAAACAAGATGGTATGTAATATCTACTAATAGAGACTTCTTCCACTTGATATCTTAAAGATAAAGTCAAGAACACAAACTAAATTATATAAAAAGAAATTAGTTAAAATATTTTGTCAGCTAAGTTTCTCAATATGAAAGACTATCTATTTCATGGTTCTAACTTAGCACAATAGTTGTAGTAATATATACGACACCTGCCTTTTAAGTTTTGCGCCTAAAAATAAAAGCACAGTGGTTAATCAGTGAAAATCGATTTTTTTTTGAGGTATTTTCCATGATGATCAATACATTCGATTGAACCAATTTTCGAGACATTTTCGAGACTACTCTGAAGTTCGAATCTCCGGGGTTTTGAATGTGTCAACGCATTTTTTTTCTTAATGTTTGAGAAAAAGAAGAAGTCATTGAGTTCTAAGTCGGGACTGTAAAGCGGATGACCCATCATCAAGTTCTTGACCGAACTATTGTCCACAATTTGCCGATAAGTCACATAAATTTACCTTAATTGGATCCCGTACTGTAAGATGTCCTATTGAGAATATTAGAAAAATGTAATCTTTCACAACTACCTATGAGGTGCAAACAATACATTAACATCAAAATTTTTTCGAAATTTCGGTTCTTGATGTGTTCTATATTTGCCTACTTTCGGAATCACAAATAGTTAACCCGATATTATATATATTTTCCATATACTTGTGCAAAGTTTGATAAACTTAAATCAGCATTTATAATCTGATTTCATTAAAATTATATATGATTTCATTAACTTACAACAATATCTCAAATATTTGCTTTGTGTTTTTTGTTTAGAAGTAACGATTATATATAGTATGGGCTTGGGGAGAAAGTTGGCGTTTTTTATTCATTTTTAAGAATTGATATTTTTAATTTTAAAGAGTTTTTAATATTAATTTTGGTTCGAACTATTTCAGATTGGTTGTAGAATTTCGGAGTGCTTTCGGAGTGTAAGTGCATTTTGTAGTTTTTTTGAGGTTTTTTTACGCAATAGTATTCTACAGATGGCAACATAAATTAGTCTGACGCTACAATACCAGAACTATACATTGAATACCGTCAAGATTAGGTCAGATTAGGTGAAGTTGAGGATATAAAAAATCTTCCTCAGTTTGCTAAGAAATCGCTTTTATTTCACAATTTCTCCTTATAGTATGTAGAAGAATGGTTATATTAGAACCAACTGCAACCATTGATAAATGCGAGTGTATGACCAATACTAATGCTGGAAATATCAGCGAGTGTGTTAAAGGAGAGGGCACCCAAAAGATTAAGCCTGGTTCTGGACAAATCAGAACCGGGTGCCGGTATACATGTACTACAGGAGACATTAACAGTAGACTGAGTTTTACCTCATGCCGTTCTATAAACCAGTGTTCTGTTTAAAAAATCACCCAAACTTTATGGTCAATGTTTATAAACATTACATGAACTTCGAAAGTTTTTTTTCCAACCATCTTCAATGTCTTGTTCTAAACCTTATAATTATTTACGACCACTCACTCACTCTTTTTTATCGTCAGACCCAGCCTCCTTTACGGTTTGTAATAATCTTTTTGTAATTTAAACTAATTTCGTATAACATTGTCATAGGTTATTTTCTTTTATACAATAATTTATAATATAATATAAAATTTATATTACCGTAGCCATCAAAATAAGTGCAATTTCTTTTAAGATCTATCTTCAGTTTTTTAGCGATACTGTGACTACCAACATGATGTAGGTCTTGAACTTTACTTTTGTATTTCATTGCCTTTCGGTTATAGGTCATGAACGCTTGTCAGGAAGCTGTCTCAAAGTAATTGCATTTCAACCGATAAAAATAGGAGCGAATAGTTTTTTCCGAACCCAATACTATAGAAGCTATGGATTGAATCGGGAATATCTTAATTATCTTTTAATTAAATAAAAAAAGTAGGTAGAAAATATTATTCTCTAATCAATACCATCAGAGAAGGTTTATAAGTATAAGTATTCAGTTGACTTCCGATATCAACAAAATTATTTATTAAACCGCCTCAATTCAACTTTATAATAATCGGTAGTGAAATTACAATTTTCACTATCAAATAAAGGTGAATGACCTTACTTAAAGTTAAGTTGTTGTACAACGATGACAGCCTTACTATTTTATCACAGTTAATGTTTAATGTCTCGGTTTTACCGAGATAATTAGCAATAAATGAAAATCTATATACCAAGCCTCTGCAAATGTCGTAAATGTTATAAATAAAAATAATTTCATTTTCATTCATGGTCAGAATGGTTCGTATAATATGACACCTGTTTATTGTTAATTATAATTCTTTTTTATTTTTAAAGCGTAGGAAATATTCTGGATCTACAAATTAATAGATCACACACTTTTCCTAAGGTCAGTCAATCAATGATCTTGATGAATCAAATCTTGATATGCAACATTTGGAAAATAAATTAATAGAACGTAAATTTGTTGACAACTTAAATTATATTTAAAACTTAATTTATACTTAAAATTTAATTATTTAATAACTGCAGAAATTAACGTATTTCGAGAAACCCGTGATTTGTTAATTAGTAGCCGAAATCTTATGTGCGACATATGTTGCCACTTCGAAAACAGACACTTTTATGTGGTAACCCCCAAAAATTTGCTGAATGCCGAAATGTGTTCTTTTCAAGTACTTCTAGACGTGACTTGCAGTTCTAAGACAATATGAAAATAATGTTTCGATTGCCGAATTGGTGAAAATAAACTAAGCAAATAATTATTTAAAATAAGGCAAAATCAAAGTTAACGTTAAGAACGTTTGAAGTATCTGATCTGATCTGCGAATAAATGAAACTGGTTAATTTTTTATGCTTTTGCGTGGTGTAGTTTCCCCAGAAGATGATACGTCTTCGGTTTACAAATGTTTCGGTTTACATTTTAAATAAAAATAATTATGCAAATTTTACATATTCACATAAATAAATGTATGGCATTTTAATTAAAATTATTTGTTGATTTTGTTTTTAGTTTTCTTATTATTAATTTTTAAGTACGTATGTACTTGTTTGTTTTTTTAATTATTTTTATATATTATTCGCAATATTTTTCAGTAATGTTTCTTTACTTATTATTTTTAAGCCACAAAATGATTAGATTTAAAAAAAGATTTGACATTTAATCTGTTCTGTATTTAAAAAATATAATTTACATATAATTGAAAAAAATATATATATTATTTCTGCGCATAATTGAGAATAGGGAAGAAGACGTTGAGCGCATTGGTATGTTGTTAAGTATAATCCACGTGATCCTTAATGGTATTTCTTATCGAAAACTTAATATTATTGAAACGAGTGCTTTATATAATTAATCTGTCCTTATTAAACTGGAGTGTAGCTGCTGCAAGGTGTCTTTCTAAGTAGAAATGCGCTAAAATTTCTGGCAGGATATATAACGCACTACTATAGCATGTGCTTAACAATATGAATTCATCCACATAAAGTAGATAAGACATCTGGTCACATTCTCTGTGACTGCCCGTTTATATATTGGCCAGGAAGATATTGCTGAGTCAGAATAACTTTTAATCAGTTAGGGTTGGTTACCCTAACTTTTAACCAGTTGTGGTTGGTTAGTATCACAAAAGATAAGCCATGATCTCAGTGCTCTGCTCTATTGGGATCAGTAAACTGTTTTTGTCTAATATAGCCTTATTAATATATTAATTAATGGATTGATTAATTTTTGGCAACATTTTCAATTATTTCAAATTGAAGGGTTTTTTTTTATTATAAAAAATATTTAATTAGTATTCAGTGATAGTAACAATATTTAGTTACTCTACTAATAAATTTAGAAAAAAATGAAATTAGAGTTAGAAAAAATTTGTTCAATAATTTTGTTAGGGCCATGTTATGTAGAGTGTAATGGGCTCGTCAAAATTACCTCTTTTGGGCTTTGACGAAAATGCATGTTATGTACAGTGTCACAGAAATTGTAATAATTTACTTCTAAAAGATTCAAATGACATTGTTTTGTCTAAGTGACGAGCTACATATAGGCTCGGCTCTCATTACCAAATTTGAACCGACATATTGCTTTTTCTCTCACTCTCAATTTTATAACTTGCTTTAAAAACAACAATTTTGCTTATGGCAAGCCCATGACACTACATAACATGGCACTTAATGTATTTTATATTTATTACTTTGATTCGGATAACACGGAACATAGATTTTAGAGAGATAGCAAATTTAGATTTCGCTATAACTCTTATATAAAGATATGTACAAAGTATCCGGAATTTATAATTTAAAAACGCACTCAATGAACATCATAACCAACCTATGTTGTTCATTCTTTTGGATTCTGCTAAAAATTAAAAATGAGATATGTAGAAGTTAAATGTATACGTATATACCTATAAATTCTTTATAAAAATTATACGTAATTATTATTTGACGAACACGCGTTAAATAGTATCTATTCTTGAAAAGAGTTATTCAATCTTGGGTAAATTAAGAATGTAAGCAAAACACACAATATATATTCATTGAAGATCCAAAACCTTATTTCGTTTAATGAAATCCATAAGATATTACTGAACCTACCTTATGTTATAAATAACATAATGTAAGTTTTAGATAAAGTAACAGCAAAAATAAGCTTATCATTAGAGTTAAATATTATGCATAAATAATTATAGTCAAAGGATAAGATCTGTGTTTTCATATTCCTTATTGGATTTACATTTGACTGCAATTAAAATTTAAACAACAATAATATTATCTGTTATTTTACATAAGTGATTTGATTTTTTTTTTAAACTTAATATTTCCTTTATTAAAATTCAATGTTTAAGAGTTTACGTTAGAAATATTTATGTAATGAATTTTACAACTTCATAATTATAAAAAATATTTTGTTCTATAAGCAATAAATGCTTACAAAAAAGCAAATAAATAGATTTTTTAATTGGAGCAAAATTTTATTTTTTTCCAAAAAGGTTTTTATTGAAGAAATTGCTTTTAAAGACTGAAGACTGATAGTTTTTTGAATTCGTTTCATTTGAAAAACGAAACTATCAAATATCATTAAAAGTAAGCTAATGCACCTTATATGGTTTAATATTTAAGAATTAATAGCGGATATAAGACACTTTTTTTATATTTCACATATTTACAAAGCACTCAGGCTTTGTCAAAAAAAAAAACACAAGTCATCCCAAAATGTCAAAATCTTCTATTTACCAAATTTTACCAAATATTACTCATCTTCTTGTAAAAATTTATGCTAATTTTATTTGTAAATCCTGTATTACAACATAATTAAAAAAACAACGAGCCGTGACTACGCAATCACATAATATACATTTACATTTACATATATAAACATACACATATTTATATGTATAGATATATACAATTATATATATATTTATATCTAAATAGTAAATCTATATTAACAAGAAATTCCAAAACAAAATTTTTATTTACTTTTCTTAGATCATTTAAGATTAATTAAATTAGCAGATATATTTGTCGACATGGATGATAATAATGATGTTGTTAGCGAAAAATATTGAAACATCTTGTGATATATTTGAAATCGCTTAAGATATACGATGTTCGCAAAAACAACAACAACCACAATATTGAAAGCAGAGAGCAACTAGTTCGATTCTTTGTTCAATTTGCGAACCCGTAAAGAATCGATCGATGTTTTTCATTTCTGAATTTGTTAACTTACAACGATTTTCGTCTGGCCGTGCGCATTTATTCTTATTGTAACTGTCGACGTGAACGGTTTAATATCAGATTTCGAACAAAAAATATTTTTTCAAAGGTTTCAGAGAAATTAAATTATTTTGTGAAATTAAAAAAAAACCCAAAGTGAAACTAAAAGTGTTGTGAAAAATTTATATTTCAAACAAAAAAAAACCATTTTCAGGATAATCATCCAATTATTCAAAAACCAAAAAAAAAAATAATTAACATTAAAATAAATTATGTATTAAATAAATTATTTATATAATAAATTAAAAAATAAAATATTATATATAAATTATAATAACCACATTAAATTACTAAAAAAATATGTTGTGAAGCGAATTTTAATATTTTATAAATTTGTTTATACAAAAAAATCTTTTAAATTAAAAATTTTTTGAAACAACAAATATTTGGCTAATAAAAATTTATTATTATTGTTTTATTTATTTTTTTGAGGAAATTTTCAACTAATAATTTATAATAATTAATTTTATAATTTAATTTCAAAAATTAATTCAATTTTTTGAGAGTTAATTTAATTTATATATTTATACATTTTTTTTTTTTGTATATTTCATATTAATTTTCTCTCATTTAACACATATATATATTCAAATATACATATTATAATATTATAATATATATTATATATATATGTATATATATATCAAATACATATGTTACTTACGTATTAGTAAAAAAAAAAATTAAAAAATATGTATATTAAATTAAATCAAATCTTAGAAAATTGAATTTAGTTAAGTGAAATTATTATTTAAAATTTGAATAATAATAATCTTACAAGATATATATATTTAGAAGAAATAACTATAATAAAAAATTGAAAAGACATAGAATATAAATACATAAATAAAAAAAATATATTAAATTTAATTTAAAAAAAATAAAATAAAAATGACAAAATCAAATAAAATAATAAATGATAAAATGACATTTAATAGACATTGTGATTTATATCAAATCTTATTCATATATTTTATTTATATTTATATCATAAATATAATAAAAAATTAAATCCAAAAATCATTTTTATATATTTTATTTATATTTATATTATAAATATAAATAAATAAATATTTATTTATATTAATCATAATATACTAAAACAAAACAAACTAAGATGTTTTAAAACTAATTAAATTATTTTAAATTTATATTAAAAAAATTAAACTTTATTTAAATAAAATAATTTAAATATTAATTTGAACGAACCTGAAAGAAAGAATTATATGTAGTTAAATTGAACTAACAACAAATAATTATGAAATAAAATAAAATCAAATGACATTTTATTGAAATATATTAAAAAATAACCAAAAAATAAAAACTCAAAAAACATTAAAATAATATAGATTAAATTATTTTAGATTCAAATGAACTAAATTAATTTAGAATTAAATAAATTAAATAAATATTGACAATAAATGAATAAATAAATAAATATTAAATTAAAATAAAATCAAATGAAATTTAATTGAAAATCTAAATAAAAAAAAATAAAATAATATTAAAATAAAATAAATTATTTAGTATTCACATTATTTTATTATCAAATAAATTAAAACAAATATTGACAAATTATTTTAAATTTAATTAAATTGATATAAATAGAAATTATAATAATATATACATAAATTAAATCACAATAAAATATATTCGATCATATTATATTAAATAATGTTAAACTTTATATCTAATTAAATTCAATTTTATTAAAATAAATTAATTTAATTCCTTTTAAATTTAACTCAATTCTATTGAACTTAATATTATAGCTATATGGAACTAATTGGAACTTGGAATTGGAAAAAGTAAAAAAAAAATAAAAAACTAATTAAACCAAAATTGAATCAGTTATTATTAAATTAATAAATTTTTTAATTAAATTAGGTGAAGTGAAATTTAACTAAATTCAAATTAAATAATGTAAAAACTAATCAACATTAAAATAAATTAAATTGAGTTATATATGATTACCTTAAACAATATTAAATTATATTAAAATAAAATATGCTAAATTATATAAAATTTAATAAATAGAAATTAGAATTCTAATTTACAAATAAACATAACTGTGTAAACTAGATTTAACTAAACTGATTTATATTTAATTAAATAAACTAAATGAATTTTTTACTAATTAAATTAATACTAATTAATTAAAAAGCTTATATATGTATTTGAAATATTATTTATAAAAAGTGAGAGAACTTTATCCGAAATGATATACAATGCGATAATTAAAAAATTGTATAATTTTTATTTAAATCTTTTAAAAATCATAAATTAAAATTTCAAAAGCAAAAAGGATTACTTTTTACAAATTGTTGTTTTATATTTACAGTGAAAAACTTTTAAAATATAAACTTGCAATATTTTATAATATTTAAAAAATTAATTATCGCAACAAAAACAAATAAAAAAAAGTAAATAAAAATGTTTTTTAAAATTCTAATGTGGCTCTTTGCCATAACCGCGTATTTTTCTACACAAACGAATTGCTTTGAGATGAATAGTAAGTGCTCTTCACATAAATAGTTTAACAATATTTATATATACTAAAAAACATACATATTCATATCTCTAGAATGCTTCTAATTATTAGAACAAATAGTAGAAAACTGAAAAAAATTGTGTTAATAAAAATGAAAACAAAAATTAATGCAATATTCTTGATTGCAATTTTATGCAAAACTATAAAAAAGAGAGTAAATATTAGGTGTTAGAGAAATAATAAAAAAGGTGTTATATAGTATATAGTTTAAAAAAAAAAACTATACGTAATAAATTTTGTGTTATATTAAAAATTTGCTTGATTTTAAAAATAAAAATATATTTACACACGTGTATCTGTAACAAATTATATATTGAATAAAAATATTGTTTTTATATATTGACTGTTTTGATATATGATATGTATTAGAAATACTAAAATATATTTATATTAAAATGACTGAATTATATTTAAAAAAATTAATAAAAAAATAAATTAATAATTAATTACTGCATAAAAACAAATAGTACTTACATTTGTTTCATTTAAATTTTTTTTGTATGTGAAAATAAAAATAATTTTTTTAATTTTTAAACTATTATTCAATTATAAAGAAGATTTATATACGTAATCACATCATATTTAAAATAATATTTATTGCGTTACTTTTAAACAAATTGTGAAAATATCAACATTAAATAAAATTCTTTAAGAAGAAAAGATGACATATGACATTTTTATTATTATTATTATTGTTTTTAAAAAAGTCCATTGTTTCTAGAATGAACCAAATATATTAGATAACTGAATCAGAATTTTTATTACAGTTTATGAAGTTGTTTTCTAATTGAAATCGTTAAGTATCTTGTCATTTGAATGAATTTCAGTTTAGTTTTGATTAAAATTTGAAAAACAACATGGTTTTAGAAAATATATATTTAAATATCGGAATATTAATTTGAACTGTAGATTGCCGTATATTCGAATAATGTACACAGTTACTAATTATATCATTTGATTGATTAATAGTAATATGTGTTCCAATCAGATATTGAGTATTTATGATGTAAAAAATAACAAGTATTTTGTCTATTACTATATTTTTGAGTGCTGCCAATACTCTTTTTTCTGCATTTAACCTCTCATTATCATCATTAATGGCGCAACTATCCTAGTTGAATCTTGGCCTCCCTTTGAAAATTCCTCTGCGTATTTTTGTCGTTTGTTGTCATTCTTCAGTTTCTTCTTCCATTTTGTTGCACTGTTTGATCCACATTGTCTATCGAGCATAAACGCGGACACCCACTTTTTGTTCTTTATACTAGTGCATATTAAAATATTTTTTTTTTGTTGGGTTATCTATGCTATGCGTTAGTTTTGGTCTAATCCTTATTGCTAGTTCTCCTAGCTTTTTGAAACATTCGTCATTAGATCTCAGCCGAAATTTAATCACAGCATTTTACGTATAGATGACAACAAACTCATAGATTTCCCATTAGGTAAAAAAAGATTTTTTCTACGTTTTGCATTTTTTATGAGCAGGATAAATAAATAAAATGAGGCAATGTTAAGAGAAGCCTAGGTTAAACATATATCAATACTTCCACTCAACTACTGCCTTTTGTGATGCCCTCAAAATAAGGTATACAAATCATTGATAAATTACAGTAGTATAGTTTGAAGCTCAGCTTACGTTCCTGGTGGAATATACTTAAACATACTTCTGTAAATTCAACTGAAATAACAGTAGGTAACAAACTACACGTTTGCTGATATCTTAAATATATTTTATGGTTTTTTTAGATCTTACATATCTAACTTATATTTAAGTTAAACCATAATTTACCGCTTATATAAAAATTGTGAACAACTTCAACTATATCAAGAGCATAGTATTTTTAATAGATAATTGTTAAACTTATTTCCATTAGTTAGTTTAAGTGCGTTTTAGGCACTTTGAATAGATTTATAAGAATACATTTTTCCATGTTTTTCTCCTAATTAAAACTTCATTAAGGTGACAAAAAAATACTAAAAGTAATTAACAGAAATTTCATATTTTTAACACTTTAATGTTTATAAATTTTTTTATAGCAACTTTTCCGTTAATTTGCGTCATCTATAAGCATAAATATATTCAAAATAAAAATATCCAGACAGCTTTATGCAATCGTAGCAGAATGTTATAAAAATTTATAAAATTAGTGAAAATTGATGAAAACAGAAACTGACATAGTATAATACTGACATAATACATATAATACTGATAATAATATAACATATATAATATAATATAATATATAAATATAATATAACTGACATAATAATATTTTGTACTGTAGAAGTATCTATAAAACAATGTTAAGTCTACCAAACTTTAATGGCGAGCCTAATCTATAAGATAATCTTGTAACCACGGTTGCCACTTATGGTACTTTAGTACCAAAATTGGTACTTTTTTTTTCGTTTTTTCGTTTTTGGTACTCATGTTTATAAAATGGTACATTTTTGACGACCCAACTTTATTGTGGATATTTCCAAATAATTTTTTTTATAAATGGAACTTTGTACTATTTTATATTTTGTTCATTTATAACACTATGAAAAACACAGAACAAAAAAATAAAAAGGTCCAAAAAAATGTTGGACCTTTTTTTTACAGAAATGGTACCATTTTAAACCAATTTTGGTACAGGAAAAAATTTTCAAGTGGCAACCGTGCTTGTAACAATAGTTCTCTGTTCACAGTTCTCTCTCTCTCTCTCTTTCAGAGTCGAAATAGGAGCTTATGCTAAAACTACTGCGACTTTTGAAGTTTACTTAAGCACGGAGCTAGAAATTTACTTCGGAAGAGATTTCAGATAGTATCAGTTATTTGAAAAAAAAAAATTTTATATTATTAAACAGTCATGATTCATAAATAATGTGTATAGAAATGTTTAATATAGTCTTCCGATTAATTTCGAGGAACATCAGCTTCTTAAGCCCTCCACTTAATACGTGCCTGGCTGTATTTCTAACTGGTACTGCAGTAAATACTATGATCTATTTGTATTAGACTCCCAGTTCACTCTAGCAAGATTTTATAAAAGACTTATTATTAAAAAATACATAAGCATTTTTGTCCCATGGTGATATTTATGTTTCTTTGATTTGATTTATTTTAACATTTTTGAAATAAATCTATGTAGTAGCTTTTTATTTGTTCTTTGTCTTCCAGTCTGTTTATTGCTCTGCGTTTTTATTTTTAACAAAATATAAATTCAACTGCAAATGTAATTTGATCGGAAACATTTTTGCTAAAGTCACTTCCAATTATGCATATGTGAATTGAATAATGTGGACAGCTTCAAGGAGTACCTCAATAAATTGACTCAGGTTTCGGTTATAGTGTATTCTAGTAAGATAAAATCATTATAATTTTTTAAATAAATACAATTCTAGAACGTTCTTACTTTTTTTTTGTAATAAAACCAAAAACGGTTTATTGCAGAAAAGAATTGAATACTCCTTCGTGCTCACCAAGAAAACCTGATGTATTTCCTGTTAACTTTTGTTAATTTGTGTTTTTACAATTTAACTTTATTCTTATCGGAAGTCAAAAGTTAATCTATTTCTATATTTTTACAAAATGTTAAATACAGTTAATCAAATAAGAATAGCTTACTATTCAATTATGATTATACATTTCCAACATTCTCTTGGACCTAATTTTTGAAACCACTAAAGTAATGTTTAACATGACATTGAATTTTGTTTATTCTAGATTAAAACGAACAGGTTGTCTTCTCCTTCTAACCGACCGTCTTAATTGAACTGGCAACTGATCAGTGTGTGTGGACCCATATCTGTCGTCGGACTCCGCAATCGCCAGCAGAGTTGTTACATGGGCGGCAACCAAGAACCATTTTATCGGCGTTGTTCCCGAAAGTTATGGAGACTATGAAAACTCAAAATAGAAGTAAATTCGGAGTTGGAGAGAAAGTGTTAGCTCGTAATTATTCGGGATCGCATAAATGGATCAGAGGCGTGATACAGAAATTGCTGAGAAATAAAATGTATTTTATTCAAACTGAAAATGGTTACATAAAACGACATCAAAATCAAATACGTCGAAATTTATCGTCATCGCATTCAAATCAGCTTAGGGCAGATAATATTGATATTGATTTAGATTTCGGTATTCGGACACCACCGGTTGAGGAAACAACAATTACTACTGGATCCGACCCGGAACATAGTCAAACAGAGAAAGACGACAAAATGGGGACCGATGAAACAATAATCACTACTGGATCTGACTTGAAACAAAATCAAAGAGAGAAAGACGACAAAGCGGAGTCCGACGACAGATATGGGTCCACACACACTGATCAGTTGCCAGTTCAATTAAGACGGTCGGTTAGAAGGAGAAGACAACCTGTTCGTTTTAATCATGAATAAACAAAATTCAATGTCATGTTAAACATTACTTTAGTGGTTTTACTTTTACAATTCTTGTTGATGAAGGGCATGGTTTTTACTTCATAACTTTTGCTGCAATCTCTTAATTAAACAAATTCTTGCGGTACCCGAAGATTTTGCAATGTGAATACTGCAAAAATAAATATTTTATTCAGTAATATTGCAAAAGGATTGCCTTATCAACTTAACGACATTAACGACATAAAGAAAACAAGTTCCCATTCACCTTCACAAAAAATGAGTAGGAAGCATCTGCCGTTTTTTATGCCGTCTTTGCGGTTTATGGTCAATGCCAAGGGTTTTTAGTTGAAGTTTTTAGTCATTTTTTTTTTTGAAAAAACAAATCACTTAAATTTGTTTAATGTATTAAGAATTAAAATTAAAACAACAATTTTAAGCAATTAATTTTTTTTTTGAAATTTAGCATATTTCTTAATTATCAATACCTTAGGGTACTATCAAAAAAATTGTTTTTAGCTTTTTGTCTGCCTTAATCAGAGTTGATCATAGATTAAGATATAGATAAAATCGTGCAGTAACCCAACTGCAACAACCCAACTTCTGTATTATGCATTGCATAATACTTGTGCAATGAGTATTATAAGGCATGTGCAGTTTCTCTGCGTGGATTCCTATACACCAGTAACCAGAGAGAACTACAATAAGCCTTGTAGTATTCACCTGATTCTAATAGATTAGAACATTATAAACACAATGTTAGATTGTGTTTATAGTTTTCATTGGTGTAATTAATGCAAAAGTTAATAACATTCGGTCTCGATATCTTGAGAAGTAAGCTATATCGACAAGTGTATTGAAATTTATTAAACATTTGTTGTCCTAACTTTCATTTATGTAGTACTTAAGATGTTGAAATTTAAACACTTTCTCTACCGTTGCACTTCTTAAGTATATTAAGTAAACTTGAAGATATCCTTAAAAAATCAATATAATTTGTAGTTCCTATCTTTAAAATATAATATTCTACAAATAGTGAAGGTGCAAATAGTTATTACTAACGAGTAGCACTAGATCGCTCATTTAAAAATGTTACAATCTTCATTGCCTTAAACAAAAAAAAATCACATGGATCTATATTAAATCTTTTTAAGTAGATGTTATGGGCTTGTTTATTCTTAGATTTATTTTTCATTGGATATCTAGCAATAAAGTGTCAATTAAATTTAAGTTCAAGTATAATGGTACATACAAATGTGTAAATTTTTTATTACTAATCCATATTCGAAATCAAGTGACTTTTTGTTTGTTTTTTTAATTTTTCTCAAATTATTTAATTCATGCTTTAATGGTTATTTATATTTCATTTGTTTACTTTGCAGTGACTGATTACTACAAAATGCCCAGCTTATATGATTTTGACGATTATGATCGCTGTTTGACGGAGTTCAATAATCTATCGACTTATTGCTTTGTACGGGCTGACGTTATACCCAAAAATGATTCAGTGTCTTGGCGGGTTATCACCGAGATATCAAAGTATAATAAGCATCATTTCAATCATCGTCATCTGTACTTTGGTTTATGCGTGAAATGGTGTGAAGATGCTTTATCACAGTTCCAGGAAAATGGGACCGATGAACTTTTTGCTGGCATATTAACTAATAACACAAAGGTAAGTGCAAATTGAAAACCCTATAATTATATTAATTTAGAGAAAAAAAAAAGTTTTTGCCAAGTAATTTAAAAATCCATAATATATATTTTGGTCAGAGGACAAGATTTTTAGAAAAATATTGCAGAAAGAGAAAAAAATTGAAATAAAATTATTTGAATTTCATAAATTTTGTTGTTAATTTTGGTTTAAATGAATTAAAAGCAATGCAGCCTATAATGGAAATTGAGGGTTATTTAAGTGATTTGGATATTGCTAGACCATAGAATTGTTCTTAAAGAATAAAGAAAGAAAGAAATTTCGTATATTGAGGAAACGTTAAAAATGACGATTGAGAAAGAAAGAAATAAAGAATAAAACGAATAAATTTTGATTCAATTTTTAAATAATTAATATACATAACAATCGCATATATTTGAAATTCTAGACAATAAACCAACTGCTAAGATAAAACTATATATAGCAAATTTATACATATACATATAATATATCTATCTCTATTATTTATAATGTGTAACTTATATATCTATACTATATATATATTTATACTATACGTAAAATTTCATTTAAAAGTTTATAAATTACGTTTATAAATTATTTATTATTAGTGAATTAATGCATTAAAAAATATTAATAAAAAAATATGAAATTAAAAATAATTCAAAATTGCTTAGAAATAAGCAACATAAAAGAAAAAAAAAATTTGAAAAAGGGTTTCAAAATTTTGGTGGTATATATATATATATAATTTTTTTTTTTCCATATATATATATTTCTATATTGTTAATGTTAATAATTGAAAGACATTTCTTAATTTCTTTTATGGCGAACTATATTTACTACAATAATTGGATAATAAGTCGATAAATAATAAATGAGAAAATCTGCCAATATTGCTATGAAAATATAAAATATGTTAGAATATGTGGTACAAAGTCCGTCTTTCTGGAAACGACATTCGATTTTGTGATGCTCTATATTTATACGGAAGCGATCTCTTCTGTTTGACTTCGTACATGAGATTTCTATTAGCTATAGCTAAATATTGTATATATTCTACTCATTCTATTAATTGAAGTATTTTACTTGACTTATCCTACTTTATGATAATAAGTTTTAAATAAGACCGAAATTGAAAATATTTAATTTTTTTAACTGGTAATTTAAAATAAATGTTTAAAAATAATATTGAACTATATATTATAGTTTGATATTTAATCTGGTAAAACTTTACAAACTATTTTAAAAAATCAAAAAGCAATGTAATACAATGTACTTTAGACCATACATTTTAGTACTACGTACTAAAAATTAGTAGTACATTGTCTGTGAAAGATATACAAAAAACTGTATTCACATTATCAAGAAACTCTCTCCATTAAAATAAATAAAATGTGACACCTTAAAAAGTAGCTCAGAACACAGCAATTTAAATAAAAATGATGTCTCTATTTGTATTCTCTAGGCAGATGCATTTAAAAACATTGAATTTATTTCCGGAAATTGTTTGTAAAGCAAAATAAACAAATTTTAAAACTTAAAGTAAACAAATTGTTTGCAATTATTTACTGATTTGCAATTTTACTACAAAACATACGAAAACTATTTCAATCTTAAAATGTTTGCATTTTGTGTAATATTTTAAAAAAAATATATAATTGCAAAAATGTGAGAAAATGAGAAAAGTTCTACATCATATTAAAAATATACAATAAATAAAATAAAAAAAATAATTATAATAAAATATTTTTAAAAAATAATAAATTAATATTATTATATTATATATATACAATAATATATATACATATATATATATACATATAAAAACAATAAAAAAATATATATAATATAAATATCTATTTTGTATATATTTCCTTATAATATTATAAAGAAATTTTTAGAATTATGCACTCAGAGGAAATAGAATAGAATAGATAATAAATGGGATTTTAACTCCCAGAGAGCGGAACACTGCAAGTAAATAAAATATGACAATAATAAAATATAAAACAAAAAAATAATAATAATAATATAATAATAATAATAAAATAGAATAATAATGAAACAAGCATATTATTAAACGTAATATATAAAAATACAATAAAAGACCTAAAAATTAAAGGAATAAATAACAATAAAATTAAGTATAGAAATATAATAATTTCTATATAATTCTTACAAAAATCTATTAAATAAAATAAAAATTAAAAAAATTATTATTAAAGATTATTAAAAAAATTAATAAATGAGTTTATTAAATTTAATACACTGAAGATATTTGTAATATAAATAATTTTGTATAAAAATTGATATATAATTAAATATTTAACACAGTTTAAAAAGTGTTATTTTTTTTTTTTTAAAAAAACATTTTTATAAATTTATATGTTAAATAAATGACCTAAGCGCAGTAACAACAATAAAAACTAATTGAATATTGGAATAACAATTTATTAAAAATTTATTTAATAAATATATATTTAATAATAATTAATTTTATTTAATATGTAAATATAATATAAAATATAATATATGGATATGTAAAAATAATAAAAAAATATAACAAAAATATATATACAATAATTTATCGTTTTTTTAAAATTAATTTTAAATCATTTCCTAATATGTTTTTTATATATTTAAATAAACATAAATGAACGCGTAGAAATGCACGTTGTCATGGTTAGTTTTGGTAAAATGTTAAAAACCAGATAATTTAGTTTATAGATATTGTTTTTATTTATTGAAAAAAATTTGCATATTTGTAAATGTAAATTAGTTACACATGTAAAAAAAATTATTTCATCAAGTTTGATTTGAATGAAAATCTCTTTGAAAACTACTTAATGAATTTATAATTTATGTAACTTGAGTTTATTCACCCGAAACCATAATTAATAATTTTAGTTCAAAATATCCAAACGCAATTTGTCTATGTCTGTTCCTCGTGGGGGGAATTACAAAATTACTGTCAAATCAAAACAAAACATAATTATAATCAGCTGACATTTTACAGTAATATCGAGGTGATGTAAATTGTTGTAAGTATTTAGAAAACAGTAAACAATAATAATAAAAATATGCGCATATAAACAAGATTTTTTTTGATGAAGCATGAGTATTTTTAACACACGAGATACTTAAGAAATAAACTTTTAGAAGATTCAAAAATTACTTCTAAAGAGCTCATACATACTCTAACTTTTGTGATATACTTTATATAATATGCTCGATTCTTAAGGATTGTCATAAGATTTATTTGAAAGAGTGTACACAAGTTCTTGACCTGAAGTTAGATGTTACTCTCCCTTTTCCATGAAGTGTCTTGTAAGATATGGATAATATACACGGTGTTTATTGGTCAGGGTTATCCATTTTATGGATCCAAAAGTAAATATAAAAAAAAAACTTATTTGTGCATAAGATTCTGACCACAATTGTATTCCATACTGGAATCCAAAATATCGGAATACTAGTTGTGAAATACAACATCGTTCAAATATTCTCAATGAAACATCTTATAGTATTGCATCGTATTAAGGTAATTTTCAATGATTTCTCGGCATATAGTTGACAACAGTTAAGTTTTAATTTGGATGTTTTTTTCACAGCCCCCGAAAAAAAATTGAGAGGGAGAAAAAAATATGGGACATCTTACAATACTGGATCCCTTTTTTTTGTCTTGTCTGCACATAGTTGACAAGAGTTCGGTTACCATTTAACAGATGTTTGTTTTCAATCCGTCGAAAGTATGAAAATTGTTTGCAGAAACACAATTTTCTGCTAAACCAAATTATATGTTACACAATGCATTTTTGTGGCTGCAATGGTTTTTCGATAGTTAACTATGGATTATCACTGTCCCAGATACGAAAATTTGTGTCAATTAGCGAAAAATGAGCGTTTTCAGTATATGTAATCTATTCGAAAAATTGTTACTATCTTTAAAACTAAGATATTTTGACATATCGCGTAGTAAAAAAATTTGTTCGGAATAATAGTAAAATCAGTTGAGAAATAGGCATGCCCAGGTAATCGGAATTGGATTATTTTTCTTACAGGCAAGATTAACAACAAAAGTATTATTACAGCAAAATTAAATTCGATATATTAAAGTAGAAAATATATTGTGTACAGAAACAATAATTGATTTCTTCATTCTTAGGTTAGAGAGAAGTAGTGAATAATATATATTATGTATAGAAAATGAATTTTAAATCCTGATACAACGAAATTGGAATAATTGATTTATTTTTCATTTAGTTTGAGATAATAAAACCCCATTCGCAATTAACTTATACATAGTAGAATTTTCATATATTTATATATTACATATTGTAAAGTTATCATAATAATAAATTAAATGTTATAAAATATTTATATATAATTTTTATGTTCTGATATTCTTTTTTTGTCATAGGTCAATGTATATTTGAACTTATTTTCATCAGAAGCTACAAATCGTGATCATTACAATATTTTACTAAACAAGTGTCTTAACTTGAGACTGCAGAAAAACTATGGCTTGAAAGCAGAGAGTGTTATTGAATATTGCAATACAAATAATAAAACTATTGAGGAAGGTAAGTGGCTAAAGATTTCTTAACTAAGTTTCTTTTCAAATATTAAATAATGCCACCTTTTGGAAATTTTTTGTTAGCGTTGCGAATAATATTAAAAATAGATTCATTCCTTTCTTTGACGCTAGAATCAAGAAATTTCTTTAGTTTCTAAATTTAGAGAGCAAATAAAAAATTACTAAAAGCATTTTGTGGGCATGAGTCGATAACCATGAAAATGAATATGGATCCATGACAGTGACAAAGCTCCAGTTAGCAGTTAAGTGATGGTTTGGACTAAAATTTAGACTAAAATAGACAAATTCAGATTGATTTTTTCATAGTAATATAATTTTAAATAATTCGAATGTATAACAATTATATCCAAATTATATATATATAATAAAGAGATAAAGTAATGGTGAATATATAACATTTGTAACAGTTAAACATGAAGACATATTATTATATATATATTATGTGGAATTCAGTAGTAAATTAATAACTTTCCCATATAATAACTTATATCGGGCTTATATAATTATATAAGGTTATATAGTAGCTTTATCAATATTTATTAGCTTTCTTATTTAAAGATATAAACTTCAATTAAATTTTTTTATTTATAATAAACTAGCCTTAGTTTCATAGTTGATATGTCAGTTAGAGGATTTGATCATTTTGATAAATCCTTAAAATATTTTCCAGAAAAAAATTATGTGAAAAAGTTGCTTTGTGTATCACTACTTTTGTATACAATACATAAAAGAAGGTTATCATTATAGTATATCATTAGATATATACTTTATAGGATATCAGATGCCTCTTTCACTATAACATTAATATATATGCGAGGGGTATAATATTTAGCTCCTAATGAGGTCCAATATCCTACAATGATTTTTTATAACCTTTATATTAAATTTTGTGATATAATTCGTAAACTCTTTGAAATTACATATGTATTTATTATATATAATATATATTATTATATGGAAATAAATATTTTTCAATATATATTATATTGAAAAAGTAGTTGTAAGGATTTTTGAAACCTTCCCGGTAATAAAAGGCAATTTAGTTGTTTTATTTTTATCACGCAAAAAGCAAAAAGAATGTTTTTTTTATATATACTATGAACTAAATACCACCCCGAACTCTCTAAGTCCACAAAAGTTACACATACATTTTAAATAAAAAAAATTTTATATTATATTTGTAGATTCTTGGAATTTGTCATTTTACATTGTGGTTTATGTGCTGATTTGCTTAGTTATATTAAGTAGCTCATACGACTTTTATCTGAAACACAAATGTAACGATAAAGTGCTAACAGATCGAGACCACTATAAGGCGCCACAAAATAGTTTAAGTAAGTTAAGCTAATTTCCTAATATGTACATATTTTTAAGTTTGAAGTTAATGATTAATGTGTTTTAATTTAAAAATTTTAGTTAAAAAAATTTGTGTGACCTTTTCGGTAGCACGAAATTGGTATCGCCTAACACAAGAACCAACCGGTAAAATTGGACGTGACCTACGCTTTTTGGATTGTTTCAAATTTTTTTGCATGTTTTTGGTTGTTTTTGCACATACAAATTGGGTTATATTTGAGGGACCAATTGGTAATCCTTATGAAGAAGAACAACTATTACACACATTATCGGGGACTTTATTAATTTCTGGCGGCTTAATTACACTTACTTTCTTCGTAATTAGTGGATTGCTATTGACAATTAATTGGCTGGCACTAACTAAGGTTAAGAGTGATCTAAGTTTACCGGAATATATAGAGGCATTTACTAAATTCAACATATTTAGATATATACGGTAAGATACTTCATGCTAAGACCTTCTGTATAGAGCATATATATATAATTTTTGATTTCTAATGTCTGCACTTAACTTGATCAGCCACATCAATATTTAATCTTTAAAGCATTTTTAACGTATATTATGATAAAAGTAATTATTTACTTTAAGTTTACTTTTTAGTAATGTTTTATCATTTCATAGCAATAATAAACAATACTATTGTTTACGAGTTTGTTAATCAGAAAACAAATGGAAAACTGCTGACACATGGAGGAACTGATTTATTAGTTCTACTTAAACTTACAAACTTATGAAATAATCGTCTAGTTTTATATAGTCTTTATTACTTAACAACTAATTTAAAAAGAATTTCTTATTTTATAGACTTACAGTGCCATATGGATTCGTGTTACTTTTGAGCGGTGTTTACTTTGAAAATTCTGGTGGACCTATGTGGCGTCACATTTTGGAACGTGAGCAGTTATCGTGTCGCAAGAATTGGTGGACAAATTTGTTATACGTTAACAATTATGTTAATAATAATGAAAGGGTAATTTTATTTAAATCATATAAATCAATTATATTCAAACTAATTTTTATATATTTAGTGTATGTTACAAGGTTGGTACTTGGCTGCGGATACACATTCTTTCATACTGAGTTTGGTCCTACTTATGTTGGCAAATAAGTAGGTTCACTTTCCATAAAAAGTATTATTTTTTACTATATTTCGTTTTATTACAGATGGCCTAAAGTTCGTAACATTCTTTTCGGTGTAGTCTTGGCAATTTTCTACGTTATACCTGGCATTGTTGCTTATGTTAAGAAATATAGTCCGATTTTTATAGCAACGCCACAGTTAGTATATATGGAAATACCATTTAGTCGATTATAATTATTCATTTCCTTTTAGAGCACAAAGAGATTCCTTCATTGAAAATGAAGAATTCGCCAATTTTTATGCGCCATTCCATATGAATTTCGGCTGTTACTTTTGTGGAGTTGTTGCCGCCTTGGTTTATGATAAGATTTCCAGTCAACAATTGAAATTAGCTAAATATAAATCATTTCAAATTCTTTGGTATTTACTCATACCAGTTGGTGTCTTGTGGATGTTTTCGGCTCATCCATTAATACAACACTACTATAAGGTACCACCACGTTTCTGGGGCAGTGTGTATGCAGCTATGCAACGCAATTCTTGGTCATTCGGTGTGGCATTCATGATTGTCGGAATGTCAGCGAGACTAGGCTGTAAGTATAGAAATTAATAAAATATTCTTACCGAATATTTATTTTTCATTTATTACAACACAATTTTAGTAACATTGTTGTATCATTGTTATTATGAGGGGGGATTTACACTACGACCTAGAAGTCTATTGTACCCCCTTCATGTATTTCTGGTATTTGTCCAAATTCAATTTGCTCTAAAAATTGTAGTATTGAACCCATTATAAAAAGTTTTATTTCTTCATCCGTTATGAGATGCTATGTAAACTGCTATGTAAACTTATTTTCTTCCCTATAAAACGTACATGTTTTATCAAAGCAAGTTTTCAGGTTTGTAAGGTGACAGTTCAACATAGTTACAAGTAAAATAAAATTTTCCAATTAATCAACTATAGATCACTGTTTACGGCGTTTGGTCGTCGTAGTTGACTAATGGCTCTAGGACGTAGACTGGGCCGCTTCTGGAACCAATGAATATTTTTCATTTGCTTCATTAATTGCATTTTTCCCTGCTGGCGTCTTTAAATGGAACGCCTCTAGCTTTTTTTTATATATTTCGAAAGTTTCAGTGGATAGATGTTTTATAAGTGGATAGATGTGGGAGATTTCTTGCTAGGAGATTAACATGTTCTGTCAGCCTTTTATTGTATTTTTTTCTTATATTGTGAAATTCAGTTTTAACTAGGGGAATTTGTAGATCTCGATGAATACTTTCATTCTTTATATACCATGGGGCAGCAGTGATTGTTCTCAGTATTTTTGACTGAGCCATAAGTTCATATTGGTTTTATGATGCTGTTATATAAGAGTTCTTTATACTCTAGACAAAGGGAAGATCTGCTATTAATGACCCAATGCAACTTAGAGGCTTGTAGCTTCATCTGAATTATTTTGGATTCTTTAATTTTTTTGAAACTGTAATTTATATTGTTTTTCTAATAAACATTAATTTTATTAGATAAAATCATATTTACCAGTAATTTTTAACCCTATTACATACACAAGGTGTCATATTTGTACTATATATATTAGCAAAAGATTTCACTTTTTTATAAATGCTTAAAAATATTTCAATATCGTATATTTTCTTATTTCAGGGATTCTACGTAGATTTGCATGCTTGCCAATATTTCGAATATTGGGACGTTTAACATATGGTGTTCTACTCATACATGTTTTTATGGCACGTATAGTGTTGGGTACAATAAGAGAACCAATTTATTTCAGTACAGGAACGATGGTTAGTATATAAATTTATTCACATAAAAATTACTTAATTAATACTAACACTAATTTCTATTTTAGTTCGCTTATATATTCTTCAATCTGACTGCATCGTATTTGGCATCACTGATATTAGCACTATTAGTGGAATTACCAACTTCATCTCTTTTGAAATTATTGCGTTAAATATTGTTAGTATCTTAAAAGACTTGTACTTAGATTTATAAGATTTTATATACATTTATTAAATTAATTATGATTAAGTTAACACTCTGTATTAAGTTTATAATAAAAACCAAAAATATCGAAACTTACCCAGAACTTATATCTCCAGTTGAATCATTATTTCTTAAGTCCATATAAAAAGTTTTAATAGCCTCAGTAGCTTCATCATTTAGAAAAGGTCGCGCTTGTTGACGGGCATAAGCTGAAATAAAAGTCTCTTATAATTTTTATTATCTAAAGTTTAGAAAAATGTATCGATATTATTATATTATTAGTGGACTCATATCATATTTTGATTTAATTTCGGCTAATATAATAATAAAAAAATATATATGTATAAAATATATATAGAACAATAAAAGAAAAATAACAAAAAAATATATAAAAAATAATAGTAAAAAATATATATATAAAATATAATTATAAAAAAATATGTCTAATATAATAATAAAAAAATATATAAAATATAATATTAAAAAAATATATAAAATATAATAAAAAAAATAATATATAAATTATAATAATAAGAAAAAAAATATATAAAATGTAATATACACAAATTATTTACGTATAACTAAATATTAGAAATAGTTCCAAGACCAGCGATGATGGATATTTGACAATACTCGAAGTCGCTATATGGTCTGCAAGAAATTCAATTAATTAAAATAATATAAAGAATTTTTTTTGTTCTAGTTAACTACTTTTTGGAACCTCTCTAAGTCAAACAGTTACTAAGTCAAATTTAGTATAAAAATTATACAAAAATATATAAAAGATTATATGTAAAAAAATATGAAAAATAGTATATAAAAATATATAAGAAATTATGTATAAAAATATATAAAAAATTATATATAAAAATGAGTTAAAAATTGTATTTAAAAATATATAAAAAATTATATTACATATTACATATATTACATAATTATATATTATATAATTGTACATAATAAATTATGTATATATAATATATATAAAAAACTATATTTTGAAATATAAAAAATTATGTAAAAAGTTATACATATATAAAAAACTATATATAAAAAATTATAGATAAATATAGATATAAATAAATATAGATATAAAGATAAATATAAAAAATTACATAAAAAAATTATACATATATATATATAAAATTATACATATATATATATAAAATTATACATATATATATATAAAATTATACATAAATATATATAATATTATACATACACATAGCAGAAAAAGTCTACGGATATTCACAAAATTTTTCTTATATTAAGCATAACTTTTTTAATTTTTACTCAAATTTATTTTTATTTCCTGATTTATTTTAACCAAAGAAACAACAATAAAGTTCTAATATAAGAAATTAACAGTTATTCATTAAAAAAAAACTTAAACACAATTACATGCAAAAGTAGCAATTTTTGAAACAGAAAAAGTCTACGGATATTTCTTAATATTTACATTAAAACAATAAAATTCACAAAAATCTTAAATTTAATAGCCTGTGGGATAACATTTGCATTTAATAACCTCTGTTAAGCGTCTTTGCATGGACTCAACTAGCTTTGCAGTATCCTGTGCGTTTATTTCTAGCCATTCTTCCTTGATGACGTTTCTTACTATATCCTTGCTGGAAAACATATGCTGGCGAATCTTGTTTTCCAAATAAACCCACAGATGTTCTGTAGGACTAAGGACTGGTGATTCTGGTAGTGTTTGAAGTTGCTTGAGAGCATAGTACAGCATCCAAATCCGTACGATGGGTGCTGTATGCTTAGAGTCGTTGTCCTGCTGAAACAAAAAGGTTAGCTCAAGTCCAAACATTCTGACATTTTCTTTCAAATTTGTTTTTAGAATATTTAGATAGCCATATTTCTCCATTGTATCTTGTACAAATTCAAGTCTGACAGCACCATTACTTGCTATACACCCCTAAATCATTACGCCTTCACCACCACGTTTTACTGTTGGATTTGAGTTTTGTTTATCATAGGCTGTGCATAATTTTCTCCTTACAAGTTTTCTAACTTTGACTCAAAATATGTAAAATTAACTCTTATCGGAGAAAATAACTCATTTTCAGAACTTTATACGTTTATTTATATGCTTTCTTGCACAACTTTATCATTTTATTCTATTATATCTGGATATGTTTAGCTTCTTTCCTGCAATCAGGGTATAATACATGCATTTCTTCAAAGTTTTCCGCACAGTATCAGGACATATTTTTTTTTTTCAAGTATTTCGGCAATATGTTTAGCTAGTTTGAAGGCTGTTACTCTTGGATTTACTTTCACCTGGTTGATTACGCTACGTCTTTCTCTATTTGACAGAGTTGTGGAGCGGCCAGTGCGAGTTTTAGAAACGTAAGTACTCGTCTCTTTGAAGTTATTTATAATGCTCTACACAGATGAATATTGACAACCAATATCTTCAGCAATTTTTCTTTGGCTTACGTCATCTTTCTAAAATTTAACAGTTATTTGTCGCTCACTAAAACTAATTTCACGACTTTTATTTTATATTGTAAAAATTTATTGCTTATATAAAAAAATATTATTAAATGATTACTTTTTAGACTCTTTAGGAACTCAATAATTAAATATCATTTAATGACACATTTATGCTTGCAAGCGAATTTATATTAACGGTAAATGTAAATATTAAGAAACATCCGTAGACTTTTTCTGCTTCAAAAATTGCTACTTTTACATATAATTGTGTTTAATTTCTTTTTAAAGAATAACTGGTATTTTTTTATATTGGAACTTTATTGTTGTTTCTTTAGCTAAAATAAATCAGAAAACGAAAATCAAATTGAGTAAAAATTAAAAAAGTTATGCGTAATTTAAGAAAAATTTTGTGAATATCCGTAGACTTTTTCTGCTATGTTTATATATATATAAAATATTATACATATATATAAAATATTATACATAAATATATAAAATATTATACATAAATATATAAAATACTAGTCATAAATATATAAAAAAGTATATATAAATATATAAAATATTATACATAAATATATTAAATATTATACATAAATATATAAAATATACATAAATATATAAAAAGTCGTACCTAGGCATTATATAAACGTTAGTCTATTTAGTTTTATCTTCTTTTTATTGACTAAAATGTAACCATTGCTATACTACTTGAATATAAAGAGATATATCCTACTTATGCCAGCTATTTGTTACCTATGTATTTCTTAATCAAAATTGTGGGTAATAAGTCCATATCATTTTCATCGTAGAGCTTTAAATGTTCCGCTAAATTATAATCCTCAAAGTTATCGGTGGTGTCGCTAACTGTAACATTCATTGAATTATTCGTTTTTGGACGTACAGTGTAACGTGCTGCTATAGCAGGCCCTTTTTTAATACCGGCATGTAAAGCTTTCACATGATCTGGTAACGTAGTATCCAAACCTTTATCAGGTTTGTCTAAGAGCACAAAAACTAAATCAAATTGTCTCAGCAACGATGGCTCTAAACGTATATTTTCAAGTAGCAACTTAGATTCATCATAGTGACCACATTTTGTATTGCTCGTAGCAATAATACTTGTGGGTGTAGATGTTCTACTAGACACAGCAAAAGATGATGCAGTTATACTAAGTGATTGCATTGCTTGCAATAATGTTTCAACGGTACCCGGTATCTGATCAACATCATCAATAGCACAATGTCCATCTTTACACAAAATTAATGCACCAGCATCTATGCTTTGTTTGTTGCGACCTTTGGTGTTGATAATCAATTGCCCACTATTGCTTGAACAATTTTTACTATCAATGAGTGCACCTAAGAGTATAATAGTCAATATTCTTGATAATAAATATAATGAATATAAAATAACTTAAGCAATGTACCTCTTTCGGATATTTGTGCACACATTTGCAACTTATAAGATTTACCGGTGCCTGGATCACCAACGAGTAGAACGTTAAGAACACCTTCTTCCAGTAATTGTGAACCAGATCCTCCAAATAACGAAAGCAAAAGTCCAGCTTTTTCTAGTTCATGTCCATGTATTTCTGGCGCCATTGATTGCACTAACAGTTTAAAGACGTCATGTTCACCATGTATTTTATTAATAGCCTCCAAATCGCGTTCCGTAAATGCTTCCCGTTTCACACCAATTTTATTTACGGTAATTGCTTTCATATAAATTTGTGTGGAGTTTTCAGTTGTTTGATTGTTAGCAATATTGCCAGCATAAGGTTGATCATTAATAAATTGTCGTAGTTTTAAAACGCCCGTAATAACCACAAGTTCGCCTAGCGCAACAGAATCTACTAAATCATGGCGTAGCTCAATATCCAGTATAGATGGCAACTCATATTTATAATCAACGAGTGTGTTAATGTTGGTTTCAGATAAGCTTATATTTTGTTTTGGTACTATGCGCGTATAGGCTGAACTGCGCATCTCAACAAAATTCTTTTTAGCCAAGCAACCAGAACCCTTACAACTGTATGGACGCGCCGGATAAAAACCTTAAAAATCATGAAATCATGGTATTATAAATATTGTGGTATTAGTTTATAGATGAACTACCCACCTGTTTGTTTCAGCACCTGTTCTTGTTGACAACGTTCACATTTGTATGCAACCCAAGTGGCAGTGGCTTCTACGTCACCAATTGCAGTTACTATACCACGCACACTATGCATGCTATCCAAATGTTCGTTGCTAATATGACGCATTTCTGTAAGATTTATTAAATCCATTGGACGCGCATATATTTTACGTATACGTGTAATGCGTTGAATGTTATTTGTTGAAGTTGAAGGTTGACTGAGAGCAGCATCAATCGCTGCTATGTTCACAGCAGCATGCATGGCTACACCAAGCGTCGCCAAACTTTGCAAAGGATTATGCAGCATATCCTGTACTATATTCGGCCAAATTGTATTGACTTCTTTATCAGCCTGTAACACATTTAAGTAGCAATGGAAATATGATTGATTTTGTATGTCACTCATATCATATATAGACGAATCTCGTGCGAAATGCAATTCCAGTACTTTTATTCGTTTGGCAATGATGCTATTTGGCGAGTATTCGTCTTTTAAAAAGTATAAACACCAGCCCGGACATTCACTTGGTGCTTGTATTTTAAAGCTGTTCACTTGCAAACTATGTTCTGGTGCCACATAATGCTCTGGACGTAGAAATGTTGAGTCGAGTGCATCGTTTGGATTTCGAGTAGTATTGTTTGCGGCAGCATCGTTGTGATTGGCACCACCAGCTGGTATAGTTCGCCCGCCGCGACGAAAATAAAAATAAGGTCGATATCGGCTACCACCACGAGATTGACCACGACTGAGATTTGCACCACCACCGCGATACTGACCACGCAACGGAGCACGCATAAAACGTCCGAGACCAGGTGCTCTGGGTCGGTTCATATCACAACAGCTTCTATTAATATTATCAACACAAATAATTAAACTTTATATAATTACTTAAGACAGTGTTTTAAAATTTTACAAAATGCGCAAAAGCAAATGTCTTATCTGACAGCCCACAACAGCTGTTTTTGTTCTTATTTTTTGTTAATCACAAAAGTATGCTTCACTTTAAGATCAAAATGTATTATAAACAAGGGTTGCCAAGTTTCATTTTTAATTTAATTTACATAATGTGCCGTATTACATCAATTCACTGTATTCTTTGTAAACAAATTTCAATCTTTAACAAGCGGAATAATTTTATATCAAAATCCAATTATTTACAATTTATTTAGATATAGACTCAAATAAGTCAGAAAACATATATAATATTGATTTATTTGATGCGAACCCTTATGTATTTGTAATGAAATTATAATAAACAGTTGTTTGAATTTGACTATTTTGTATTCCTGTATAAAATATTTCAAAGATATTGTGTTTCTAAAAGCGATTTGTCATTTGGTTCTATGCAAAGTTAATTGAATTTTAATTAAGATATTTGTTGACATGAAATAGACCGCATTTTTTTTCTGTGGTGAAATAAAATTCAAGTAATAGCACATTCACACTCATTATGTTTGCTCATTATAGCCACTAATGAGGATGATTTACCATACAAAGACCTCTCATATAAATGAACTTAATATTATTATAAATTAGCTCATAAAAGGCGAAAAATGTCAAATGCAACCCTGAAAAATAAATTTCCCAAAAGGGAAATTAGACAAATTTGAAATGTGTCATATGGTTTATATGTAAAATTGAAACACACAACAGATGAGCTGCTGTAAACAAACATACCTAGAAAGTAAGTATTTAATAATATCTTCGTTTTTGCTAATTGAATATGTAATTGATATATAAAATGTATACAAATGATTTAATATATTAATTATATTCTTTTTTTTTGTGTGGGATTTATTTTTAAGTGAAGTTTATAAATCTATCAGTCTAATTTAAATCTATCTATCAGCTGCATAAATGAGCTCACAATAATAAGAACGTTCACTCATTAATATAAATGAGATAAAAGTTCTTGCTAGTTGGTTCTAATATATAGAATATTCCGGGACACGAAAAATATTTATTTCAAACATTTCCAATAAAAAAAAGCAGCAGCAAAAAGTTGTCTAAATTTTTAATTTAAGGATGTAGTTATTATTTAACAACATTCATTGTTCATATATATATATATTCACCTTTATATTTATATATATTCACCTTTTAAAACATAAGTCACAAAATAATAATTAAATTTGGTTTATATCACATTTATTAAAAATAATTATTATTGTTGGCCTTTTAGTTTACAACACGCAAATAATTCGAACATTCTGTTTTTTATTTTAAAAAGTAAAAATATTATTTTGAGTACTATTTCTCGAACTCTAATACTATATTCAGACAGCCTAATTTCCTTAATTTTGTACAAATGAATTGAAATGTTAAAAATTACATGCTGAAAACTCCATTTGTATCTCGGAAATTTTAAAAGTTGATTATTATAACTATAAAGGATGATATTCAGTAGTTTTATTAGCTTTAGTAGATTTCAAGTATGTGAATTATTATTTGGAATTATTTATTTTTTAAAAATTTACACTACTCTCAAAATATTTTCCAGTTTTATTAAATTCAAAGGTCATTGACATTTATTTAAAAAAAATATCGCTTTTTCGTTATCTCAATTTTATCTTTTGCTTAGAATTTATCTTACGCATAGTTGCATTTGAAATGTCCCTTAATTTCAACATTCGTTTCACGAAATTAAGGCCATTTTCCTTAATATCGTTTTAACCTCAAAACTGAATTTTGTATGGAAAAAACAACTTAATTTCGCTGAAACGAAGTTGAAATTAAGATTTTTACGAAATTAAGGTGTGTCTGAACAATAAGCTATTTTGGTATATGGCGTACTGGAAAAAGTTATAGAAAAAAACTATCATACCTACAATCCGTTTGTCACTTTTATAAATGAGTTTTATAAAGTCTGTAATTTAGATCATCCCACTGATATATTGAATATATGTATAATGTTGTATATAATCAATATTGCACCGCACTGATATAAGAAATATATACTGATTTTATCAAGTCTGTAAGTTAGATCATCCCACTGATATATTGAATATATGTATAATATTGTATATAATCAATATTGCACCGCACTGATATAAGAAATATATACTGGTATTTCCCTCTTTTTGGGCAAACCTGGTTACGCAAAAGTAGCAGATGCGAATCTTATTACAAAAGTAGAAGACTTAGCGGATTATGTTGGGAAAAGTCATATGTATGCCACATGTAATTGATAAAAACTTTTATTTCTCATTTTCTTATTTCTTTCATTTATTTTATTTCTTTTTTCTTTATAGTATTGTTAAACGTTTGTGATATTCATTACAATCGTATAAGTAGTAAGGGTGCCAATTTATCTCTTATGGTCGAAGACGATGATAATTTTGACAAAGCGCATCATAAGTTCGGATGAGTTGCACTCCATCGAATTTTCGATTATTGGATACTGGGCTTCTCTTTTGAGTAGTTAAGTCAAAATGTATGTTATTGTACCTTTTAGAATTAGTTTTATAACATTTTTCTCGAATCTTTTAGTTGTTATTGTTATTTTTCATTTTTGGAATTCTATACCAATCAATATTTATAAAAATTCAATTCTAAATAGTTTCATTAGTTCCTTTGTAATAATACCCTGCTTTTTTTATGGTGATATTTTTCGAATATATTCTTACGTTTCAGGGAATATAATCTTACGTTTATGAACTCTTATAAACTTGAATAAACTTTAGAATTTGGATATCCTGATATAATGGAAGTCTACTTCCAATTTAAAACACACTACAAAGTCTTGATGTTGTCAGTTGAGATATTAAGAAAAACATAACTTTTAAAAATCTAAGCATACATTTGTAATAATTTATTTAATAAAATACATAGATGAAATGTGTAGTAATATCTGGTACATTATCTTAACTAGTTCAATGTTGTGAACTTAATGTAAAATACATTCGGGTAAGTACTATATGCACTTATATGTAGCATCTCGTAAAAAATAAGTACAATAGCCAGAAAAGTCAAACAATTTGTAGTGCTGAGTGTAGACTCAAATTACACATCTACTCACATAAAAACTGAAGCAGATATGCAGATTTTTGTACGTAACATATGTGTATATAGTCTCACTTGCATTTGCGACTACGAATTGAACGCATGCCTAATATTGTGTATAAATTTACTCATGAATACTCACACTGGCACATGAGTGCTAAATCACTTTAGGCCAAGAACTGCACTTAGCCACTTATTGTTGTTCGTTTTAAGATACACTGAGAAATTTTTTAAAAGATTTCAGTCAGCTTTGTAAGAATATATTCTGAACTTACATATAAGGAACTTTTCTAATTTTACACATTCTAATGACGTGTACTTTATGAGCAATCAGTATAAAAGTTAAAAGAAGATACAATTTTGGGCGATTATATTAGAACCGATAACTTTACCCATGATTGTTTAAGTAATAAGATTTTTAAAATTATTACTGTAATATAGCAAATGGTTTATCCTTGATTTCTAGCAGGAAAATATATAATATATAGTGGAATTCCCCTAACTCCAAGTAGGGGACTTGCAAATCGAAGAAGGGTCGAATTATTCCAGAACTCGAACTCCTATGTACGAACTTTGAATTTTCAACAGCTCCATGAGTCGAATTCCCCTAACTCGAAGTAAAAATTCACCACTTCCCTTTAAAATTATCTCCACAACTCGAATTTTTTGTTTTGCCTTTATATTTTCAAATACTTTAGTCAGTTACTTTTTTAACTTGCGCGACATTACTGGATTCTAACTTTCGGCGACACTTAGATAGCTAACAACTGCTCTTATTATTGTAAATTTCCTTAATGTGATGATAGAGTTGTGCTTATTATCATTGAAGGAGTCGATTTGTAATCACAAACATGAGTAAAAGAAATATGAAACGGTTGATAATCCCGGAAAGTATTAATAAAATTATTAAAGTAGAAAAACGTGACAAAAAGAAAAAAGATATAGTCGAAAAATATAGAACTCCTTGAAACATCTTATTATCGATTTCATAAAATAAGAACAACTTAAAAAGAGAGTTCTGTAATAATAAACGTAACCGGATTGTATATTGTAGTAGTAGTATATTGTAGTATGTTCCCACTGCTAACTTAGTAAGTGCAACTTACCAAGTAAATTTCATTAACCATACAAAGAGCTTCCGTGCTTTTTAAATTACTTAAAAATAAAGCAAGCAAAATTAGATTACAAATGTCGTATGCAACCCCTAAAAATAAATTTCCCATAAGAGAAATACATATGTTTTACATGTAAAATGTAAACAAACAACAACTGAGCTTTAAACACACGCAAGGCACAGTAAGTATTTAATGAAATCTTTGTTATTATTCATTGAATATATAATACATTTATAAAGTATTTATATATATAAATGATCTAATATATGAATTATATATTTAATTTTTTGTGTGATATATTATTGAAAGAAATTTATTACATTAAATGAGAACTCTTTTACAACTTTCAAAGAACTTGCTGACATATAAAAGCTATTTGATTTGCAATAAGTAACTTATGTTAATGGAAACGAGTAAATCTTAAAGTAACTAAGTAGCATACTAAGTATGTAGTGGACACATAATTTATTATTGCAATATTCATTAAAGCAATTTATTTTTATTTTAAAGCTAGAACAAAATTTTATGTCTCTTCTAGAGAATATTAAATATATTGTTGAGTATGAAAAAGAAAGTAAGACTATAGCGAGGGTTAGTACTACGTAGAGCACCGTAGTATCTATATGAGAAAGTTTTTATCTAATTTCTTTTCTACTTAAGCTGTTTATATAGCGATTTGTAAATGCATTATTGTAAAGTTGTTTGTAAGAATAATATATAGTATTGG